TCCTCCTCCTCCTCCTCCTCCTCTTGCCTCACGTCCCAACTCGGGAGCGCCGCCGATCGGTCGCCAGGATTTTCCCTTCTCGGCCAAAATGGAGGAGAAGGTCTCTCGCTTGATGAAGGGAGCGCAGATTATATGACCGGATCTGCTTCAATGAAAGGCGTCAGGACCCGCTTTTGTTGAGAAAGAAATCAAGTGCAACAGCAAAAAAAAAAATCAAACCCTTTGAGGATATCTATCGCTATTTCCGCACAAGCCACCGCAGCCATGAGCGCAGGAGAGGGACTGGATGAGGCTGCGAAGGACGCGGCAGACATAGCGGCGTTTTTCAAATCCGGTAAGTCGGGGAAAGGGGCGAGTCTGCCTCTGGGAGAGCCAGCCGTGGAGCTGTCGGTGTGATCACCGGTGTGGTCTGACACATTGTTTTTCCCAATTATGACACGCAAAAAAAAAAAAAAAAAAAATCACTGATGGGCTTTAATGGGCGAGATGCGTAACCTAGCGTGCGTCGGACGTGCAGGGAGAGATGCTCACGGTTTGTAGTTATTTACCACATTTCAGCTGATTTCCACTGACCTGTCACACCTTTAAATGACAACAGCTCCTGAAACATGCGCTCTGATTACTGGGCAGTGACCCCATTTTGGGTTGGACCATGTAGTGCTAGAAGGTGTGGATGGGTCCAGCTCCACCGTTGGTCTCCTCAGGCTTTAGGAGTGTTTTGACGGTATCCATCACGAACCCTCCCCTGGATGTGGGTGGCAAATTTGATGCGTTTGTTATCTTCAGATGGATTGAATAACGCGGACGTGGGATCATGCAATGACCGAGGGTGCTCTCAGATGTGATGCACGCACAGGATAGGCCATGGGCGCATGTATGGGCAATAGGTTGCACTTGGGCCTGTCTAATGTGGTGGCATCATCATAACAAATAAAAGAGAGGCCTGCCTACCTTATGGCTGTTCATCCACAGCGTTAACACGTTTTCTAAGTTCTAAGGGGCTGCACTGGTGCCTGATGGCAGCCATGAATCAACACAAGGGGGCTTTAGTTATTGGCTTTGTTGTGGTGCTTGTGACAAACATGATTTGTTGTTGAGGCAATGTGTAGCTTTACAGGAGCATTCTCACTCTCATGGTACTGATTAGTGACCAGGTATATTTAGATACTGGCTGTGTCACATTATGATCCATTCTTATAGGAAGGTACTGTGACTTTGACATGTTTCCTTGTCAACACATGACTCATTTTGGCCCTTTAAAACACACATAATAGGCATTTCCAGTAGTGCGAAAACATCATCTGGCAAATTTCAGAGCTTTAGAGTCCATCTTAGACATTATTTACTTCTTGTTACACCCCCTCAAAATTGAACCCACAATCAAGCCTCCGCATGTTCAAACTACCTCTTTAGCCTAATCTGACACAGGCATACTGAGGACAGGAGTCAGCTTTTGGAAACTGCATTCATTTAGAGCAAAAGTCCAGTGTCGGGACCACCTCTGATACACAGCAGAAGAAGCAGCTGTCTCCCTCTCAGCTGTTTCCCTCTGTGACACCTGGTGCCTTTGGGTCTGCTGTTCACCGTCTCCACAGACCGCGCACATGCAGGAACACACAGCATTAGCACACATCCACGTAGTAAGTTAATATGAATCCATAAATGCAGCAGACAAGCACACACTTTTTAAAATATTTTGTACTCCTTAAAACAGTCCATAAACTACACACTTTCTCCTCCGGTAGAAATTGCCTCTGCCAGTCAGACAGTTAGGAATGTTGTCAAAATGGATTGTATTCAAATGCTTTCTTACGGTTGGTTGGATGCCTGCCAATGTATTTTCCTATAGCTGTGTTGTATCAGGCTGGAAAGTTGGCTCACAGTGAAGTTGGACTGCTTGGATGTTTATATAGCAGCAAATGCAGTTCATACAGTATTCATGATGGAGACAGAAATAGGTTATGCCCTCAGGAAACTTTTATAAGAGACTATTATGAAGAGAAAGTATGGAAAAAGAAGTTTCTGGGAGAATAGCACAAAATGCTCAGTGGATACTGCTGAATAACTGTGTGTCTCCAGCTGAGAATAGAACCCGTAGGTCTAAAAGTTCATGTTGTTAAACCTTAGCATGCATTTTGTCAAAGATAAATGCAACACTAAATAAGGACTACTTGTACTATCACTTCATTTTATTCATTCAAACAGATTATTGATCTCTTTTAGTAACATTTTGTCAGTGGCATTTAGAAAGAGTTTTCTACTTGTAACCTTCAGGTTTCATTTATTTCTAGTCGTTGCTCCTTCATTGACGGTTTAGAGCTGATTCATCCATTCCACTGGCCCTTTTGGTTGTCAGTTCTATATGTGCATTTTATGCTTTTTTTATTTCTTTGCTGTATAATATCATTCATATATCTTTGCAATTTGTCTAAACATGCTGTATCAGTTTTTTGTTTGTCTATACATACATACTGTGTATCCTAATCTTCATACTTTTCCAGCATGCTCCCTACTAGCTGCCAGCTTGTTGCATGCTGAAGTTTTGGCACACAGCTGCTCATCCTTGTTGGTTCCAAGAATTTTTATTTCTGGGACTACGTGTGTGTGAGTGTGTTTTGTGTTTCTGGGGCCCTGGATGCACTTTGGTGCCCCAGTTAGGCAGTGAACTCTGAAATGTGGCATACTCTTCTACTGAACAAGAACTAAAATGATTGACTGGCTGTCCGAACAGCTTGATCACCGGCTAAGAGGCTGACTTAGTGAGGGAGGAACTTCTTCGCTGGCTGGATAACCAAAAGTGAGCTTGTACATTAGCTACAAAGCTGATTGACTCTTGGGATTTTTATACTGAGATTTGCATCAAAATCCAAAGCGTCTCAAAGTCCTAGTTTTTGATCCTTCACTGGTGTTTAATTTGTTCCACCTGAATGGATAATAATATCGCCGGCCCTCGAACATACTTGATGTTCCTCCCTGCATGATTATTTTCAGTGAGCAGATGGTGCTCCATCTCTGAGTCCCACACTGTTGCTGTGGATCACAGCTCAGCCGCTGAGTCACCCTCCTAGGTTGCTCATGCCATGACTTAAAGTCCAATCCCAAAATTCCTGCAACTGGTCAAAGATGAGAAATATTCAACCTCTCATATTCAGCTGCTCAGCGGTCCAGGCATCACTCCAGCTTTGCATCTATTTTTAGAGAAACCTTCTTAAAGCATGCAAATACAATAGCGCTCTTCATAACTATATCTAGTTGTTCACTATCCTTCTATAAATAGCATAATCAGTTGACTATTAGTCCAAAAATACATCTCCAAGTCTGCTTTGAGTGCCGATGATTATGGTGCGCCTTTGTGTCCCAGTTGTTGATTACTTAGAGAGCAGTCTGACTCACCAAATGTAGACTGGGGGTATGAGCCCGTGGTCGTACATGTCACGTGGCTTTTTCCTCCCCTTCCACTGTTTACTGTTTTCAAAATCCATTTCACTACGGGAGAAAACAACCTCCAGGCAGCAACCCACCACAAGTAAATGTTTCAAGTTTTGCCAAAGATTTGGATCATGCAGTATTTTTTCAGTGAATTAGCCATTTTGCCATTTGAAACACCAAAACAAGTCCCCTCTCACTATTTTGAGTGGCCACAGTTGCTGTATCCATGGCCCAGCTACGTCAAGTACAACTGGAAATTGTAATTGTAAAGTAATTGGTTTGAAGAAGTACAAACATGCTACTTTTTTTTTTTTTTTTGAGCCCTATAGCAAAGGACAATAAAGTGCAAGATTACTGAGAGAGGTACCCTATGAACTTGAAATATTAGGTAATCTGAAATCAAGACAATGGTTTCCTTGTTGTGCAACAGTCAATATCTGTATCAGATAAGTCTGGAAGTTTATTGCTGTCAAGTGATACCACCCTGAACTAGGACTGAACGATATGCAGAAAAAAAACCCCAACACTTTAATTATTTTGACAGATATTGCATTTGCCACGAGTCCAACCCTACCCAAAGCTGAGTCACAACTTTCTGGGATTTTTGTGTTATATATTTATGTTGTATGCCTGAGCCTGGTGTTTAATGTGTCGTAAGAGAAAATGAGTACGGATGGTACTTCATTTGTTATTCTAAACATCCACATGCATTTCACCTTTAAACCTTTTTACAGATGTACTCTTTTACCAAATACACTGTTGTGATATACAGCCCAACCATATGACTAATCTACAGAAAATGTGTTCAACACTCAGGTCTGCAATCATGTGAATCAATACCTGGCCTTTATTATACAAACTTTGCTTGCATGACCAAGAAATATTATGTGATGCTGATCTGGAACTGTATGCACAGCACCGTATGCTGTCAATTCCAATTCTGTAAAAGGCTCGTGTTCCTTGTTTAATATGAGTTTAATATTGTGACGGTTGCATCACTTGCAATACGTTCACATCAAATGGAATAAAAATGTATTATGGTCTAATGCATTACATCTTTAGATTAAGCTCTGTCAGTTACATTGAAGCACTATAAGAAGAGCCTTCCTGGCAAATTCAAAAATATAATTTGCACGATAGTATATTTGAAAAGGTATTAATTCATACATAGTCTCTTGAGTGGCCTTTAATGAAGTTAAGGGCTCTGTGTAATAGTATTATGGTACACAACTGCACTGTGAAACTCAATTGACATAAAAGCAACCAGATGTATGTTGGAATAAGATTAGATAACAGCCGAAACAGCTTGCAAGAAAGCCATATTCCCAGTCATAACTACAGCAGTCATACGACAGGGGCCATCGCTCACGAAGCCCGTGTAGTGTGTTGCTTTGGGTCGCAGCAAAGATCTGCTGTTTATTGCGTGAAACTGGCTTCTGGTCATTCACCAATGCAGATAGGCTTTCAACCGTACATGTGTGAGAGTCTTGGTGTCTTGTCTGCGCTGTTAAATAATAGATTTTCTTTTATAGCAGGAGAATAATTGATAGGAAGGTGTATAAGTTTTAACCTCTACTTTGTCGTCATAGTTGCATTGAGAATAATAATGAAAGAGCTGCATGCACAGAAAGGTTGGAGAACCCTACTGCAAAAAAAAAAAAAAAAAACCACACTTCCCCAATGACTACATAAACACCAATAATGCTTGCTGTGACTCTTTAGTCATGCTGAAGTCAGTCAATAGCTTGTCCTTCAGTGGCTCTCGCATTGAGGGTACAATCAAGATATCAGCATCGTTAATGGCAGTGCCAGTATTGACATCGCAGCAAGCCATTTCCCTGTGTGCCCAAAGTGAACCCAGTGACCTGTGCCAGCGCAGGCAGTAATGAGAGCCAAACCACTGAC